TATTAAGTGCACTTATTTTTTATGGCACGGAATCTGAGAAAATCCTGCATGGACTGTCTGTTTGTCATTTCGAGTTGCGTTGGCCTGTCCCAAAAAGTACCAAAAGTAGGAAGTGCTAGAACGAGAGATGAAATCGTTTTCAATGCATCTCCCAGGTATATGCTTAAGGCCCAGGGTTACGCAACATCATAGGAAAGGGAGCAATGCATCACATGTGGCAATATTCAGGATATCTTAGCGTCAACATTTTCTAATTAGTGCAGAATGCCTCTAGTTCTCAGTGCATATTGCATATCTTCACGACTGTCTCACGAGGGATCGTGGTCAAAATAACAATAGTGATACGCTTAAGCTGCAGTTATTTGGAAAGTACACGAAATGATTGCCGAATGTTTTTTTACGTTTACATTTCATAAAGTAGGTTGCGCTGTATTTCTTACTTAACACTAAGGTGACATATGATACTATAGCCTGACGCTCAATTGTCTACTCAATAAACTAATGAACCCATCACTGAGCTGAAGATTCTCATAATCAATTAACTAAGAAAAATTAGAAAAAAAACGAAACATCAAATTATAGCTTACACCAATTTTCCAGAGATACGACTGTCTCCATGAGGCGTACGCTCGTCTATATATTGACCAAAATACTTGCATGCGTCGCCCCATGACAAATTTGACTGCGTTTAACAAATCGGGAAACTCTTTTACGCCGTAAGTAGTAACTAAGAAAACATTAAACAACTACTAAAGTTGTTTTGTTACAGCATTAGAAACAGGACCAATGTTGCACTTCTCATGTCAGCCGTAAACACATGGAGGAGAAACGGAAGATCGCTGAATCCAGATTTCACTTTCAATAACAGCCGGCTCTTGATGAGACTGTCCTTGTTTGAATACGTAAGTTTTTTGGCTTGAGTATTCAAATAAGGAGTTGTCTATCACTTCAGTATAAAAGGTATACTAGATAGGAAGACTCAATATGGAATGAAAAACCTTATCTAAGGTTGTTGGAGCTATAATTACAATCACTTCTATGACTATTTTTCGAAAAAAAAAACATTTTGGGTTTAGGGCAAAGATTTAATCAGTTACACATATAGATGTTGGTTGAGACTTAGCTTTATAAGAGAACTATGCGTGATTCTGGTGTCAAAATGTGAAGTAAAGTTTGGAATCTACACAATAATGTCTGATCAGATGATTATGAGGAGTCGTGTGGAACATAACGGAATATACACTGTGTGCCGACTTGTTAGAACTATTATCCGTAAGCCCATTTGAATCACTAAAACTGTAGTGATCTATAAGTATTGCGCACGACCAGTTGCTTTATATCTGCCCTAGTGGGTTAAGAAGCAGATACAGA